TCAACCACTAAGAAGAATATATGCAGTGTGTTATTTGTTGAAACTGTACTTCCGATTTGATTTGAAACTGTCTCATTGCTGTTTATCAATAAAATTTTGGGAAAAAAAAAGAGTTGTTATCTTTCACTAAAGCTGGGCATGTTTGTGATTGCTTTGATGAAAAAGTACTGGAAAAATTGATGCAGAATTCCAGAAGGAAATCATAAAAGACCACGTGGCCCTCCCTACCTTGTTTGTTGGAATATTCACTCTGGAAGCCTGGAGCTATGATGTGAGAAGTCCATTACCATCATGATGAAAAGGTGAAGTATAGATATTTCCTAACTGTCAGCCTCAATGAAAGTCAATCGCACCTAAGAATACTGACCACGAGTGATCAAAACCAAAACAAAAAATGCTAGACTTAAAAAAGAATTTTTTTTGATCATCTAAAAAAAAGAATTTTTATTTATTTGTTTTCTGGTAGTGAAAATCGAACTCAGTTGCCAAGCAAACACTTGTGCTGCTGAGCTATATCCCTAACTCCAAAAAAAGATTTTTAAAGAAAAGATTGTTACACTTTTCAGCAATAATAAAAAATGGAGAAATATATCAAACAGTCTTTGTAAGAGTAGTACTCTAAGGACTTCAAATAATAACACTGAAACTACAAAATGTCAATATGCTTCCCACATGGGACTACAAAATACACCGAGACAATATTAGATCTAAAGGAAGAGACAGACTCAAATACTATACAGTAACAGTGGGACTTCATAATCCCACTTTCCTCAATAGACAGATTATCTAGACAGAAATGCATCAAAGAAAAATCTAAACTGAATCACACTAGACCACAAATGGACCTAAGAGACAATTATGGAACATTCATTGAACAGCAACAAAATACACATTCTTACGAGTATACTCTCTAGGTAGAACATATATTAGGGTACAAATCAAGCCTCAATAAATTTAAAAATATGAAATCACATTTTGTATATACTCAGACCACAACAATTAAAACTACAAATCAACAAAAAGAATGAAAGCTCTACAAATACATGAGATCTGAATAACACGTTTCTAAATGACTAATGGATAATGGAAAAAATTAAAAGAAAATTTTAAATTTCTAGAAATTAAAGACAATGATGACATCAGACCAAAGTCTGTATAATATAGCAAAAGCAATACTAAAAAGGAAGTTTAGCACAAATATATTCTTCAAAAAAACTAGAAAAATCTCAAACAACCTAACAATGTACCTCATAGACTTAGGAAAGCAAGAAGGCAAACACAAAGTTAGTAGAAATAGTAAAGACCAGAAATACAATCTATGCTACAAACAAATAACTAAAACAGCAACAAAACTGGTGGTACATGCCTATAAAACCAGGACTCTCAGAGGCTGAGGCAGGATTGCAAGAGAACCTACCTTGAGAAACAGTGACCTAGCAAGAGCCTGTTTCAAAATTTAAAAATGAAAAGAGGCTTGGGATTTAGCTAAGCATAAAGACTCTGGATTCAGTCTCTAGAACTAGAAGGC